TCAAGGAGTGACCGAAATCCAAAGCCGGACTGTGCAGGGAAGCTGAAGCGTGGATGTCTTATCTGCCGGTATCAGGAGGTGGCTAAATTTGTGACTTGCTCTCGGAACAGGAATCCTTAGGCTTGTAAGAGACAATTCCCATGGTCTGCTTTTAAAGAAATGGGTGTCTGTGTGTGGGGAGATGTTTAAAGGAAAACATCAGATTACATACCGATGTTCAGAGGAAACTGAAATAGTGGCAGAATCAGAATTTGCAATTCCTTTGCTCTTCTGTAAGAGTGAATTGCAAACCCCAAGAGCAAGCAGTTATTTAAAGTTTATTTTCCTGAAGATGAATCTCTAAATAGCAGCTCCATTCACATCCTGCAGTTGCTTTGCAAATAAGGCTCATGCTTTTATGATTTTTTAAAAAATGGATTTAATGGACTGAGTTCATCTAGACAGGGAGATCAAATGAGTGAGTGGAATTAGAATACACATCCATTTGGCCATCAGTCACTGCCGAAGCCACTCGACCACCCAACTTCTCTAATTAAATGACATTGCAGTCCCCGTAAAAAGGCTGCAGTGGGTAAATTAGTCCTTGTGAGTGCTCTGAAGATGAGAATCCTGATATGAGTAATGGGCAAGGGCTTTTTCCTTGGGCTGGAATTGGCGTCTTTTGTGTTTTTCCTCTGCACCACGGGTCACCTGGGTTGACACTGCAGACACCTCCTCTCCCAAAGAGCAAGAGAGACACAGGAGTGACAGGCTTTTTATTTGACTTACACGGCAAATTAGGAAAGAGCCTGCATCCATTCGCCTCCGCACAAGGAATCATACAACATGCCTATTCGCTACCGTCAGCAGCAGGCCGTGTTTTACACGAATTTATACATGAAGAAATCCCATGAAATGGTCTTGTTGAAACATTCATGAAAGGCAAGCGTCCCCCCTGAGCACTAAAGATAGAAATTTAGCTCTGTCCCCCTGTGCAAGCTTGGATCACCTCTCTCTAGGTGCATTTATTTAAAAAACAGACCTGCATCGAATCCAAAACCAATAGTTTTTGATGCTCCTCTGCTTTAGGGATGAGGTGCTTAGGGAGGTGCTTAGAAGAACTGCACACCGGGAAGCAGAACAGGAAACATCTGGAAGATCCAGCCCTGTCTGTATGGGGTGAACTTTGCCTTTCTTAATGGTCCCAGTGACTCTGGGACACCAAAGGCAAGAACTGAAATTGTTATCTGGTCCAGAGGGCGGGAGCTCTTTCCTCCCCATGTTGTCATTTATATGTGGTTTTCTTCGCCTGGATTGCTCTGACACAGTGATAATTTACCACTCTAGATGCTCTGGGTTCAGTGATGACTGACAGCCTGACAGCTGCCTCAGAAACGCTGCATCTCCTCAGCGTAAGTCAGGATGCAGGCCACTGACCGCAGTGCCCTCCCCCTGCCAGGGCGTGGGACGTGGCGCAACGTTTTCAGCTCTGCAGCTCCTCACTCTCAGCTGAACCCCTAAATTGGTCACGGCTGAAAGAATGGCATTCTCAGTATGGCCAGCAGGGTCACCTTTTCCTGAGGCAGCAGGCACGGCAGGATGAGTGTGGGGAGGATTGTTGGATGCATGGGGGTGGGACACAGCCATGCTGCTAGTCAAGGGCCTGAAAAACCATGGTTGAAATGACCAAAGAGGAGAAGGGAGACCCCTTCCCTCTGAGAGATTCAGGTCAGTGAAGTACAAGAGACTTCAGGAGCTATCAGGAAATGATGATCCTGTCTGTTTCCCGCCAATCTGTAACCCTTGACAGGGCAGAAATAATTACAGATACTGCAGACACACTGTGACACTAAGTCAAGTGTTTGCAATTACACTGCCCAACAGTGGGGCCAGCAGGAAACAGCATAGGAGAATGGTCATGTCCGCAGAAGTCCCTTACCCTGGGCCATTTGCTATCCCAGGGGAACTCACCCCAGCCGCAAAAAAGGAAACAGAATAACAGCACAAAAAGAGTCAATACTAATTTGGTTCCTGATGAATGTTTAGCAAATCATTTGCAGACTAAGCCTATGTGTTTGAGGATTGTTATAGTTTGCCTTGTAGGAGCCAGAAGCAGGGTCAGCGCTGTAGATTGGAATCAATTCAGCAAAGGGAAAAATAAACCTTTGGAATATATTTTGTCTTCCCCAAGCACGTAGCAGGCATTAGCAGTAATGGGAGCCCTGTCTGTGCATGGACAGCAGGCATCTCCCACTTAGACTCTCAACCGTCCTCTCCTGGGGAGGTGCAGCCCCGGGACCTTCACAGCGGGCACAGAATTGTGGATTCATGGCAGCTTTATGCTGCTGTGTATAGGGCACACGCATGCACGTACACACACGCACACACACACACACACACAATGCTCTTCCTTCTGGTGGAAGAGAAAGACAGAAAGGGGTCAGGGAGGGGGAGCCCTCTTACCCGTGAGCTGCTGAATCATGGCCGGCACAGGTGAGGGTGACTGAGCCTTTCAGGGCACGGATGCAAATTGACTCTACTTGCTCTGAGTGGCTCTGTGCCATCGTTGCTGGTCTACAGTTGCCCAGTTTGCAGGGAGTACAGTGCCTGAGAGGCCAAGGGGGAAGTTCAAGACCTTCTTATAAATTTTCCTTTTAGTACATTCTATGTGGCTGTCAGTATAATTTTTCCAACACACACACACACACACACACACAGATACATCTGAAAAAATGAAACCAACCCTTTAAGAATGGTGGATTTTTCTATCTCAAATAGCTCACAGGCTGTTTCTGTGTGCACGTGAGTTCTGATGCAATTTATTTTTTCAGAAAAGGATGGATGAGGTGCTGGAGTAGAATCTGTAAGCAGACCCCTTTGCCCTCTCACCAGTGTAAATTACCAAGGGGAAGACACTGTTTGCTCTTCCGTGGAAACTCTAGGCCACACTACTGGCTTTCACCTAGCATATCTTGGTGGCCAGTTTTCACTTGTCCTTCTCAGAGGGCTCACTGGGATGAAAGACTGGCGCTGTGGCCTCAAGCAAATCACATCTGTGAGCTTCCCTCTTGCTTCTGTAGATCAGGCCAAGAAGGATTGTCAAGATCTTTCCTGCCCAGTGTGAGGTGCATGGAGGTGTTTGAAATCATTCCCTCAATCCAGAAAGCTGTCGTAAAAAGAGAAGGCAACTTTGCAATATGATTTGTGCAGCTCTGTGATTTAGAAGCTCAAAGACAACAACAGCCAGCAGTTGAATGACAGGGTCGGCGCCCTTACCCAGCTCGTGGCGCTGGCCAGGGTGCTGAAGCCGGCTGGCATTCACAGCACCCCCGGACCTTGCTGGCTGCACAGTTTAAACAAAGCCAGTGCCTACACCCTGCTGGTCAGCAACTGTACCCCAGGGCAAGAGTTCTCAACAAGCGCCAGGCTTAGCCTCGAAGTGTGAGGATGTAAACAGCCAGCAGAATTTTAAAGTACATTACATTCGATAGTTCCCAGACCTGTTAGAGCTATATTTAGTGTAGGCAAGTTCTGGAATAGCTCGGAGGGAGTGCGGCGCCATCCACATGAATATTAATAGCACAAGGTCTTGGAACAAGGAAAAGATGTCTTCACTTCGGTATCTAGAATCTATCTGTGAAAGAAAGACTTCATCGGGCTCAAAAGTCTTGGGGTGCAGGAGGGTGAGGGGCTTCCTGAAACCAGGAATCAACAACTTCATTTGAGAAAAACACTTCATTGATAGTTTAGATCTAATTGTCTGAGTTCCTAGGTGCTAAGATTCTCCCACGATCTCTCCCAGCAACAATGTCTTTCAGGCAGATCACATTGGTCTCTTTCTTTGCTGCTATGTCATGCATTAATGATTTTCAGAATTAGTTTATCTGATACTGAAATACCTGCACCAGAGCCGAATCCCCCAGGAACCCCAGCACGGGCACCTCAGGGGATCCTCCCTGGCTTCGAGGGGGAAGAAAACCTCTCAGCCTCCCCGCCCTGTCATCGCAGTCCAGGAGGTCAGTCCTCTGCATGGTTCCCTTCTTAGCCCCAGGTGCCACTTCCCCAATAATGGAGACACAACACTTGACTGCAGCTCGGTGTGAGACATTTTCTGCTTGGTGTGTTTTATGTCCCATTCTTATTTCCCCAGCCACCATCACTTTTCTGAGGGCATAGAGAACGTGTCTGGTATAAGCTTTGGGGGGGGGGTGCCCCCACTTTAAAAGGAGATGGGGAATTAACACACAAGGGAATCTGTCCTCTCCCTTCACTCTCCGGGACTTCGTTCCTACTCTGGAAGCTTCCATTGCCCCTGTATGCTCATCACCTGCCTCCCCAGGATGGCTGTCTGCCTCAGTCTGGGTCTCTGCAGTGCTGCTAGGAGTCTGCTTTCTCTCCATGCCTGGGGGCGCAACAGATTTTTCTTCCCCATCCAGCCTTTCTCCTGCTCATTGCTTATCGGTCGAGGCTGGAGGCAGCGTGAACGTGAATTAGCTCAAAATTCGGGTGAGTCAAATTCATCACCTCCCCCGGACATAATCACAGCACACACTTTAGCTCCATTTCCATCAGGCAGAAGACAGAATCGCACGTTTGGACACATGGACCACTCACAGCAATCAAGAGAAGTGCTCCCAAAGGCAGGGACTTCAAAGCAGGGGGAGCCCTCTGCGATGGTAATCATGGGGCTTGTTGGCTCCCCTTGGAGTCTCTTCTTGGTCACATCCCCTAAATTTAGAGGGTGTACCCAACTCCCATTCAAGCAAAAGAATCTGGTCGCATCAGAAAGCATCTCCACAAGGGTTCTCTTGGTCCTCGGGATTTCCACAGTGGCAGGTCACAGACATCCACAGTGGGGACATTCTTTAAGTGTCACACCAGAGGATCTTTGAACATCTTTTTAAGGACGAAATTGGGCTATGGTGCTTGACAGGAGCCCTGGTTCCCACATGTGGCAGAGGCAGGCACAAAAGCAACTGCGACCCCAGGGAGAAGTGGGAATCAGCAAAGGGAACCTCCAGTGCTTCCTCAGGGTTTATTCGAGTCACCTTCCATAGCCACTTCCAGAAATAGCCACGGCTGGTGGCCCAAAGCCCTCAAGGGGGATTGGTGGTGAGATGAAGGAGAAGACGAGAGAAATGGGCAGCTCAGACACACGTGGAGCTCCCCTTAATGAGGTGGTGGCCCCCAGTGGGACACATCACCGAGCTGCTTGGCTGAGGTCAGGGCTGCCTCTCTGAGGACCTCCTCCCCCATCGGCCCCAACCTCACTAACCAGCCATTGACCTTGTGTTGGAGCCTGGGGGTGATTTGCTGCTCCATCTGGGGGAACCCCAAGGGCCTTGTGGCTTAACAGGAAGAACTCCTCCTCATTTTAGCAGCGATCTTTTTTTCCTCTCCTCCTGCCACAGTGATCAAATTAGCAGGCTGCTTCTCCTTGGAGAAAATGTGTCCATGGCCCCAAGAGGCACTGCCCATTTGCCTGGCTGATGGGTTTGGGGAGGGAAAGCAGAGATGTCTGTGTGCATGCGTCCCTTCCTTCCCCTGTCCCCAGGAGGGTCACTCCCACCTCGGGCGGCCACCCGGCCAGCAGCCAGGACCACGGAAGGGCAGTGCTGGGTCTCAGCTGCAGGAGGCCTGGCAGGTGGCGGCATACATGCTGCTGCTCACTGTGGCTCCGCTGCTCAGGCTGCTGGTGGGGCACTTGAGGGGCTTCATGCTGCTGTCCCTCTGGATGCGCAGATGCTCCAGCTGCCAGCGCTCCCAGCTCTTCCGAAACTCCATCTGGACCTTCCGAGGGAAGAGGAGGGGGCAACAGGAGCCATCATGCAAACCAACTGCTCACAAAATGGCCCCATTATTACATTAGTGGAGAAGAGAAAAAAATCCACTATGTTATATTATGAGACATGAGTCAAGGCCTTCGGGCACCTAAATTAATATGCCAATAAAATTGTTTATCGTTGTCTCCTGTTATCTGCCTCTCCTCAGAAGAGAGATGGGTTTGATGAACTAATTGGTCCTTTCCATCTTTAAAGTCTGTGGTGCAGCTAAGTACCTTTTACAATCCATCACAGCATCAGAGAAGGAGAGCGAGGGAGAGATGCAGGAGACAGGATGGGAGACCAAGGAATCTGACTTGAGCACGCGCTCTCTGATCGCAGCATGGACCACTGCAGGGGACAGGGCACCCCTATTCCTCATGGTGCCTGCTACAGACCCTCTAGACCCCGGCGCTTCTGTTCAGCCCCTCACAAGGAAGGAGTGAAGGAAGCTAGAGTTCTGGGACATGCTGTGGTCCAGGCCCATTTGGGGGTACAGGGAGGTGCAGCAAGCTCAGGGGAGCTCAGTGAGGCTCCCGAGCCACCTCACTCCAGGTCTGAGACCCAAGAGAATCCGCCCGGACCAGGCTATCGCCTCCCTCAGGAGAAGCCTCTTCCAGCCGGCTGAGGCTTGGGGCAGAAAAACACAAAGGCAGAGCTTGAGGGCTGTGGCCCCTGGGCATGGCCTGGGACTGTGGTTCCCAGAGAGAGGGGTCTCTGCTGCTCTCTGGGTGTTATTCCTGTAAATTTGCCCTCCAGAGCTCCTGTGCTGTCCTTTGATGACCCTGCCCGCAACCTCCATGCGCAGGAGTGTCTGGGGCCCAGGCTTCTCTAAGCCCAAGCACTAGGAGGGCCGACTGTCAGCAGCTGTGAGTGAGGAGCTCTCTGCCAATCCCCCTACCAGCCCCTGTGCCAGCCACCTCCCCTCCTCCTCCTTTGCCATCCATCTAGCTTAGCCTAGAAGGATGCCTGGCGTGGCTGCATGCCATCCCTTAAAAGAACTTTTTCTGGGCTGGGGATTTAGCTCAACGGCATAAGTACCTGCCTTGCAAGCAGGCAGTCGTGAGTTCGATCCCCAGTACCGATAAAAAGGAAAAAGACAAAAAATAAATAAATAAATAAATAAATAACATTTTCTGTGCTGAGTATGTCTGAGATCGCCCAGAGCCAGCCTGCCAGGGAGGCCTGGTATCCCAGGCCACACCACGGAGCCCAGGCCTGTGGAGCGGGAGGGAAGGAGGCCTAGCAGGTACCCTCTATGGCACTCTGCTCTTTGCCAGCTCCCCGGCTGGCCAGGCATGTGTGCAGCCAGGCCGACAGCTGTGATGGGCACCTGAGGTTCACAGTGGCTCCCTCTGTGCAGCTACAGGGAGGCCAATCTTGTCTCAGAGCCACCCACTGGAGAGAGGAGACAGAAAGATGGTAAATCAAAGGACCCTGCAGGTGCCACTTCAGAGACTGCAGTGGGCGCGAGACCCCACAGGATGTCAAATGACGAGTGTCCCTCCCCCACCCCAACTGCCTCAGCACTTGTGAATCTCCATGGCGGCCCCATAATCATGACTGTCCTCAAGGCCCACCACCTACGTGCCCCCATCTTCCACAGATTATCTCAGTCCCTGTCCTCGCTAAGCCTGAGAAGTAGCTGCTGTCACCATTTCCTGCACAAAGGAGAAGAAGGGAGGCATCTCCCGGTGTCTCAGGCAGGATTTGAACCTGGAGCCAGCTTTGCTCTCATGCCCGGCCTCCTGCCTACAGCAGCCTCGAGGTCCTGCTGGCCCCTGGCTGTGTCTCCCCTCTGTTCATCGCACCTCGAGGCCAGGACCACACCCTCCTCTCAGCATCCCGCTCCCTGCACGAGGCCCAGCACCCAGCAGGTGCTCACTGTGTGTGCAGCAGGTGAATAAATCAACGGGTATCTAACATCAAGTCTGTCCCTCAGCTAAGCAAATGAAATAAAGACAACAGCCTGGCCCTGGAGTCTCGGCCCAGCACCTCCTCCCTGCCCTCGGAGCTCTGTGGTCCTGAGCACCCTGTCTGGCAGGCGCCACGCTGCCCCGGGGTTGGGGTGAGCTGACAGAGCTCCTTTAGCTCCATTTATACTTGGAGAGAAACAAGAGACACAGAGTGACCCTGCTGGGGCGACACAGTGTGGGAGTACAGAGCCACCTCTCTCTAGCTGTGAGACCCAAGCTCCAGCAAAGCCACCCCCTGACCCCACATCACTTCCCTGTCCTGACCCCTGGCCACCAGCTGCTGATGCAGGCTTCAACAGTCACAGGGCACCGAGCTCAGGCTATCTTTTCTCCTTGGGTCACAAGTATCTGGCACTGCCATGGCAACCCTGGGTTTGGAGAACAGCTCTGTGGGCAGAGGCCTCAGCTCAGGGGCCTTGTGAGTCTGTGGTGGCCCAGGGACAGTAATGCTTCTGTCCCAGTGCCTGGAGGAGAGGGAGAAGGTCTCTGGGGCTGGGTGAAAGACACAGGGCAGTGGGCCGAAACGAGGCTGGCTCTCCTGGTCTCTCAGCAGCGTCTCCTGGACCTCCTGGCAGGAGCCTGGAGAGACTGAGGGCCAGACAAGTGGGGCTACAGCCAGGCCTGGCCAGCGAGGCACAGCTCAGGTTCTTTGCCAAGATCAGAGCAGGAAGGTGTGGTCAGCTGTGGAAGCTGAGTCAGCTGTGGATGGTGGGTGAGGAGGGAGGTAACCAGGCTTTCAAGGGTGGAGCCAGGAGCCCAGGGGAGACCCTGCAATGTGGCGGGGAGGCCAGGCCCTAGTGAACGCAGTCCTTTAGGGACACAGGTGGGAAAGGTAGGCAACAGCATTGGGTTTGTGAAGGTGATAAGACGGCAGTAGACAGCCTCAGTCTCTCCTCCCGAGCTCTGTTCCTCATTGCCAAGTGGGGGATACAGGCAGGCCACCCCATCTCGTCCCATCCGCTACCAGTCTGCAGTATAAAACAGCAGTGCCCAGGGCCCACCCCTCGGCCTCCCTCTGGCTGAGGACACACTGCCTTCCTGCCCTCTTAGGGCTCTGCAGGCCGCTGCTGAGCTCCTGGAAGCCAGCTTGGGGGCAGCTGGGATGGCCCCAGGGGCAGGGCAGCGCCCCCTCCCCTTCCAGCTGCCCGGCTTCCTGTTCTCTGCAGTGTCCTCTGAAATGTCCTAGCCGCAGTGTCTGGGGTGGTTGTGACAGGAACGCGTCCCGAGCACCCTGCAGGCCGAGATCCATGATCGCTCATGCCAAGCAGCCGCCTGGAGGAGCGGGCAGGTCTTCGGCACCTGGCTACGAAGAGACCGAGACCGCGTGCTCGCCGTTCCCACCGTGCTCAGGCTTCACCTGACTCCACTCTCATGGGAACAGGAAGGATCTGAGGTTCCCCAGATCTGTGGAACCGGCCTCAAGTCACAGATCATCGAGCAATGGGACACGGGCCAGAGCCATGGACTGAGCCTTTTCTGCCGAGCCTTTCCTTGCACCTTTTCCGCTACCTTGCAGTTTGTTCTTTGAGCCACAGCTCACAGCTCTGAAACACAGAGCGCCTCACCCGCTGCTCTTTCTATGTCCCTCGCGCCTGCAATGTAAGACAACTCTGTTCTCATGTACTGACTCTAAGATCCCTGAGGCCTCAGGGATATAGATGCCACACTGAGGACCAGTGTCCCTGGGATCCCAGAGTCCTGGCCTCCCCGAGGCAAACCCTCATGGCCTGATTGCATTTAACAAAGTCCTCGGTTTCCCCCCGGGCCACTTCCTGTTGAGGTTGTCTCTCTGGGGGATTCCGAGGGGACCCTGCTGCTGCCCCATGACTATTTGGGAAGGACCTGGGGAAAAACACTATGCCATTTGTGACATCCGGTTTGATGGCTTGGGGTGCTCCTGCTCTGCTCTGGCACAGACCTGGTGCCTTGGAGGGAGAGGCCTTTCCAGGTGGCCACAGACACCCTCCTCCTAGGAGCTGATCCTCTCCAAGAGGGGGCAGAGGGCTTTGTGGGGTGAGCAAGAACAGCCTTCTCCCACCCAGCACCCAGAAGCCACGGTGGAATCCACCCCCTTTTCCCCAGTGGACCAGGGCTCTCGCCTGTGTACACAAAGAACTCAGTATTTTCTTCTTTAAACCAAAACCAAGCTGACCCTGGATCTGCCACTCCTCCTGGGCCCAGCTTGAGGCAGCTTTCCTATATTCTCTGGCCTTCAGTGTTTTCAGGTGCAAAAACTGAGCTTAATGAAATTTAGCAGTGTTTTCTTTTTTGGAGGGGGGAGGGGTATGGCCATTAAATGACATGGTTATTACTAAAGCCCCAAGTCTGCGATGTGGTGCTGTGTGTGTGTTGGACACTGTGCAGTAGACACCACTGCCACCCAGGAACCCTAAACGCGAGGCTGGGTCTTCCATGATGCTATGCCTGCATGTGTGTGTGTGTGCATGTGTGTGGAAGAGAGACAGACAGACAGACAGCATCACAGGACCTGCACAGAACCCTCAAGGGTATATTCAGGCAAGAAGCCAGCCCAACTGCAGCGCCTCAGTGGGGTATGCAGGGGGGTCCCCAGGGCCCAACTCCTGCCAGCCAGGGCCAGCAGCCCAGCAGTGTCCCCACCACCCCGCCGCACACCTCACCTCATTGTTGACAAAGCAGTACAAGACGGCCACCATCAGCCCCTGCAAATGACAGGCAGGTGAGAGGGAGAAGTGTGCTGGGGCTCTCACCCCATACCCCTCTTCAAACCGGGCAGCCCAGGCAGAGCCAGGCACAGGCAGGGTTCCCTCCCACGTCCTGGAGGAACAAGGAGGCCCTTGCAGGTGCTGCACAAGCCCTACAGACATCTGTCTGTCTTGTGCCCAGGAGCCTGGACTCAAGGAAAGACGCCGCCCTAGAGTGTGGGGCCTGTCCCCAGTCGGCCATCTGCTGCCTCGGTCCGGTGCTCCCAAGCCACGCGGCATCTGTGGGATGTGTCCACGTGGACGTGCTCTCACACAGAGGTCCCCCTAGTGTCTATATTTTCATACCCCAGCTTTGGAACTTCGTGACTCAACTTTGTTTTAACATCTCTGCGCCCCACTTTCCTCCTCTGTAAAGTGGGGGATCTGCCAGCTTCTGTGACGATGAAATGCATCTGTGTGTCTAAGGCGCCTGGCCGGCTGCTTGCCACACAGCGGACAGCAGCTGTGATGCAGGCCGAGTCCCTGAGTGCATCCCAGAAGGCTTCTTGTCCCTTGGGCCTACAGAGAAGCCTTGCCAGCTGTCAGCACCCCTGGAGATGCCCAGACACCTGGTGGCTCTGCTCCACCATGCAGCTTTGGGCACGGGTCACTCCCTCAGGCTGCAACCCACCCACCTCTTCCATCTGCGCAATGCAGGTGCAGGCAGGTGTTTCCCCTCCCTCGCTCTGGGGCTGCCCAAGCAAATGCCCCCAGCCACGAGTCACCTGGAAGGAGGTGAAGGAGAGCTCTGTGAACAGCTTGATGAAGCGCAGGGTCCCCCGGGCATGTTCATCCATCACGAAGGCAAAGATGACCTCGTGGGTCCCCAGTAGGGGGATGAGCGTCAGTGTAGACTTGGCCAGTCTGGGAGTCAGGGAGAAATGTTCAGGGTTGTTCTGGACCTCATGCTGGATCCTCTCCCAGCTCTGTGCCTTCCCCATTCCGGCCAGGACCTGCATCTGGGTGGACACCCCTCCACTCCAAATACCCTTGGATAGGCTTCCTGGAGGGCAGGAAACAGGTCAAGACCTCTCAGAAGCTCAGGGGCTGCCCAAGGACAGGGCAAGGTCCTACGCCACACATCGGTAGGTTAGAGGGTCACATAAGGCTCCAAATTAAGCATCCAGCATCTCTCTGGACAGGAGGGAAGGGCTGAGGGCTCCAGCAGAGCCAGCTCAGTGAGGTCACCTGCACTTGATATCTGTCTTGCACATGAGATTGGCCTTCAGTTTGGACACCACGATACAGATGACCCGGACAAAGATGAGGAAGTTCACCTGCGGAGCACACGGGTGGTGGCTGGGGACCCTCATCCGCTTCCCCGGCCCTTTCCCTGGCCCCAGCCCAGGTGCACCACAAGTCCTACCTGCACACATCATTACTCACCCCAATAGCAAAAAGAATGGGCAGTCGGATGATGAGCCAGTAGTTCATGTTAGAGTTCCTGGTCCAGCATCTGGGGAGGGACAGAGACACCACGGAGACAGATGGGACTCCTGGGGCGGGCACAGAGGCCCAATACCCCAGCCACGCAGAATACCATATGCACGACCAAGGTGCTACCCAATAACCAGGCCCATGGAGCCACGCAAGAGCTCTACAGGTACACACACACACACACACACACACACACATGCATGCACATGGGCACACACACATGCAAGTGCACACACAAGTTCCCACATATAGAGAGCTACACACTGCCCCCAATCAACCTTCCATGGACCTATGAGCATAGTCACGCGTATATCTAGCATCATACACGAAACAAGTGAGATAGCTCCTTCCCCAACATTTCAGAAAAGCCTGCAGGACAAAGCCCTGTGCCCCAGGGACCCAGCACCAGCACCAGCATCTCACCCTGGGGAAGGGGTGGGGTGGGGTCTTGAGTCCACACATTAAGCTCCTGGTCCCTTGCTTTATCCTCCCAAAGGTAGGAGCCTCCAGGCCCCAGGGTCCAAGCATCCCGTGGACCTTTAAGGATGGTGACCTTGGTGACACAGGCCCTTACAGCAGGACACTCACCCCTCGTCCTCATAGAGGTACTTGACAATGCCCCAGGGGATAACAAACAGCAGGGGAACACCTAGGAGGAGAGAGGGAAAGAGGGGAGAGGGGCTGGCAGGACAGAGCCCCCCACGCACGCCCAGGGCCCTCACACCTCCAGCCAGTCTCCTTGCCAGGCACCGAACTATTCCTAGGCTGGTCTGGGTGCATGGGAGATGGGAGGTGGCAGCCACGCGTCCACCTCCCTCAGCCACCAAACTCCTCAGGTGTGGTCTCTCGGCCCATGCACCTGCTGCCCGCTTGGCTGGAAGCCTGAGCGAGAGCCAGGAGCCCTCTCCTTCTCCCTGGCAGGACAACTCACCACCCACAGAGGGGCAACAAGACGTCCCACCTGGCTGCATGCAGTGGCTTAGATAAGTGTCCCCCAAAGGCTTGGTCTCCAGAGTGGTGTCAGCGGGAGGTGATGGCATTGAAGGAGGTGGGGCCTTAGGTCACTGGGGACTTGTCCCCAAACAGGATTTTGGGACCCTATCCCCCTCCACCCATCCAGTCTCCCTCTTGCTTCCTGGCCATAAGGTGAACAGAGTGCTCAGCCATAGGCAGCCTACATTTCCACCCTGTACCCCTACAAAAGGCCCAAGGCAATGAGTCTCACTAACCCTGGACTGGAAACTCCAGAATGTGGGCTGACAACCTTTCTCTCTTCCTCAGGTAACTACCTAGGGTATTTCATTATAGCAATAGGAAGGTGACTAACACCGGGGCTGGCTAGTGTGGTGGGCAGCCTCTTTGAGGGCCCACATCCATCCCTACAGCATGGTGTTCACGGCTTTGTGGCCCACAATGCATAGCGTTGGTTTGTGTCTCTAATCATCTATGGTGGAAGTAATGGTAATGGTCATCTCTGGGATCAGGTTATAATACAACTTGCAACTTGTCCTGGCTCATCATTTGCTTTGGGGGAACCCAATTGTCACCTCATGGGGGTCAGAGAGGCTCCTGCGGGAAGAAATGGAGGCTTCTTGCCAACAGCCTGGTGGGGGAGCTTGGGGTTGATTCTCCACCTCAGTTAATCTTGACAGGCAGCAACCTGGCCAACATCTTCTCCAGTCTAAATCAGGGATCCCGAGCTTGGGTGCCCAGCTATGCTGAACCCCGATTCCTGAACATAAACCTGTGATATTGTAGTCATCTGCTGCTTTAGACAGCTGTGGAGCCACTTGTTACACAGCAACAGAAACCTAACACAACTGCTTTCCAGTTCTCTGAGGGTCAAGCCGAGGCCCCGCTCACCCTGAGAGCTCGGTCTGGGTTGGTGACTTTAAACCTGGGCTGTTCATCTTCCTGGGACAGGGGAGGAGATGGATCAGGAGCTCAGACGGGCACAGGTGGAACTGGACTCCAGGGCTGCGACTCCATACTCTGACCAATTACCCTTGACGGTTGGGCACCGGCTTTCTCCTTGCCTGTCTCTACCGATGCTTCGCTTTGAGTTGGATCCACTGGTCTGACACAGGGAAGGGTGTGCATAGGGAGATGTGGACACTGATGTGAGTCCACAGGGGAGTGGGGTCCCTGCACGTGCGTGGGTGGCTTGGTGGGTCTCATCCTCTTCGGGCCTTTCCTAGCCCCGCAGGGCCTCCAGGACTCATGGACGTCCACCCCCCAGCAGCTACAGCACAGCTCCTGGACTTGGTGATGGGGGGGAGCAGCATTGCGGCACACAGCCGGCCAGCGGGCTCCATCAGATCCCCCCACTCTTTTGACAGTCCTGGGCCTTCACACTGAGTCACAGCCTCAGCCCTTTCGTAAACTTTTGAGACAGAGCCTCACTAAGTCACTAAGCTGCTCAGGCTAGGCTGGAGCTTGTCATCCTCCTGCCTCAGCTTCCCAGAGTGCTGCAGCTACAGGCGTGTACCACCACACCCACCTGGCCCACTTATTTTACCCAAAGCAGGTAATTTATTTTTTATACAAAGGGACAGGGCTGGGGGTGTAGCTCAGCAGCATGGTGCCTGTTTGGCAAGTGTGAGGACCTGAATTCAACTCCCAGTAAAATTAAATTTAAGGAATAGAGTGGTCTTTAGATGCCCAGGTGTGGATCCTGCCACAGAGACAGTGCTCAGCAGGATTCGATGAACAGATAAGTCAATATACATTGAGGGAGGAGCCTTAATATATCACTGAATCCCCCAGGCAAGAACGTGCCAACTCTTCGAGCCACACACACGCACTGAAACTCCTTCTTTGCGGTATTAGAGGTTGGACCTAGGACCTTGCTCTGAGCTCCATCCCTAGCCCTTTTATTTATTTTTTAAACTTTGAGTCAGGGTCTCACTAAATTTCCCAGATGGCCTTGAACTTGTGATCCTCCTGCCTCAGCCTCCTGAGTAGGTGGGATTACAGACCAGTCCCTCACTGACCTTTCTCTTTGATCTCTGCCCCACAGCAAGGAGGCACTCAGGCATGCTGCCGCCGGGCCTGGTGAGCTGCACCCATCCCCCACCCATCCCCAGCACGGAGCCTTTTTCAGGAGCCCGAGCTCAGCCCTGCCACATGCAATGTGCTCCCTGCTGGCTGCCTCTTTCTCCTATTTAGAGAAGCAAAACGGGTTGGCAAAGAAAAGCTCAAATGAAGACACACGGAGGGGAGACGTGCTCGTGTCCCTTCCTGTGAGTTTCTGGGGCCACCCAGCTGTTCACAGACTGCAGGAGAAGCTGACTTGGTTTTTAAGGGCTCCCCAAATGACGCCAGAGTCTTAATTTTAATTCTTCTGCTTGTATGTGACCTAAAAGTTCTTCCCGAGCGTCCCCCCTTGCTCCAGAGCCCTGAGTCCGCCTGTGAGGGCATCACGTTATCACTCTTGGTCCCCCTGTCTCTTCTGCTCTCCCCACCCCGATTCCTCAAGAAGAAGATGCTGGAGGTGAGGAAGTGCTCCCGAGCCGGTGCTTCGCAGGCCGAGCCCCGAGCATGGGGGTGAGGTGGCAGGTAAAGTGCGGGTGACCCTCGCCATCTTTCACTCAGAGACCTCCAGGGCACCGAGTGTCCTCAACTCCAGCCAACCGCCCCGCTCCCCTGCATACTCCACACTGTCTCTTTGATTGGTCCTGCCCTCGGGTTGCCATGGTGATAGGCCCTAACAGCACTGATGCTATTTTCCTAGAATGGTCAGATGCAATCATCCATCTCAGGATGGCCTGAGTGCCCCTTGATGGCCCGCTCCTCCCTGTGTCCACCCCCAGGGAGCTGCTGGCCTCTCAGCTGCCCCTGCCTGGTTGACTGCCTGGCTGGCTCCAGAAGCCCGGAAGGGGCGGTGGGTCCTGGGGAGGGGAGACGAGCTGGCATCTGTGGGCCAAAGCCAGGCCCACTTGTCTCCTGCCCAGAGGCTGAGCCTGCTTGATGGCACCCACAGGGGATGGACAGGCTGAGTCCTAAGGATGATAAAAGGATGCCCAGGGCCTGGGAGTCAGGAGCTCCTCAAAGCTCCTGCCTTTGAGGCCCTGTCCCTCTCTGGGTCCTGCACTCAAGACATGGGCCACACTGAGACCTCTGCAGAGGGTCCAGAGTGTCACACAGGGCAGGGTAGGGAGGCTGAGGCACTTCCGGAAGGGTGAACTGGTGGCCACATGGGAGGATGCTTCTACCACCTTCCTGGACCAAGAGGAGCCTTCCAAGAGCCAGAGGCGAGAGGGGAGGAAGTTTCTGGAAGCCAGAGTAGCCCGAAGTAGATGAAGAAATGAGGGGTGTGAATGAGAGCGGCAAGCAGGGAGGGGGCTATGGTGCAGGGAATGGGACCGCAGCTCCCCTGGCAGACCAGGGAGGACGGGACTCTGTCTCAGGTGGGTGCCTGCAGTCCCTCCAGCCAGGGCTGTGCCATCCGCTCTCCTGGCAGTGCCAGGCTCCCGGCCCTGCTCCCCATCACAGTCCCATGTGGTGAGAGGCAGAAGCACAACCAGAAATGTTCCAGCAAAAAAACAGACACGATGGTTCTTGGCAAACTTTTTTGGCTAGAACATTTCCAGCTGGGCTCCGGGCACATCCGCGGTCCACCCCTCGCTTCCTTGGCTGCCTCTGGTCACCCTGCCCCGCCTGGCTCTCTGCATGCTCCTTTCTGTCATCGTGCTGCCTGCCTGGGTCTCCACCCTGGCCGCCCTCTCCTGCTCCTCCTCACCGAGGTCTAAGACTCGCTCACCATTTCCCTCAGGACTCCAGGGCCGCGGGTGGGGTGCGGCGCTCTAGCTCCATAAGACTTTGGGAGCAGGGATTTAAGGACAGCACTGTGACTCCACCGCTGGGTGTGGCCGTGATATCGGTGGGATTAGGGCAGATGGGGGTGGAGGTCCCATCACAGGAGAAGAGGCGGTTACAGCAGGCCTGGCCCAGCGGTGTGCGCTGAGTCCCAAGTCAGGCAGGGGTCACGGCCTCCCTCCCCCTCGGCCCGGTGGCCTTACCCCAGCCTATGCTCAGGTAGAGTCTGAAGGCGCGCTGCTCCGAGAAGACAGGGAAGGCCAGCAGGGTGTGGAGGTACACACCCTCCACCAGCAGCCAGTAGTAATTGGCCGCCACGCAGTACTGCATGAGCAGGAACACCAGCCTGCAGCCCAGGGAATCCTGCGGGGAAGTGTGCAAAGCGTCCGTGGGGACAGCAGCCCTGCCTGCAGCGCCCTGCCACCCATCCCTGTCCTGTCTCAGCCACTGTCTTTGCAAGGTTCATTCAGGGTCAGGGAGCTTATGTCTCATGTCCAGGGCCGGTGCTAAATGACTCTGTCTGCCTTAGTTCCCTGGGGGACAGAAAGGACCTTCATGCTACCCCCACACAGTGAGAAAATCAGCCACAGAGACAGTGACCCGCCCGAAAGTACACAGCTAGGAAGCCGCAGGGCTGGGGTTCGAGCTTAGGTCGGTCTCCACAGTCCGTTCCCTCATGTTCGGCTGAGAACTCCCCATGGAAAGGTCTTCTCCCTTAGCCTGGGCCCCCAGGAGATAGCCTGCCACCCACATCAGGCTGCAAGAGAATCCCCAAGTAGACTGCCAACCTCATCAGACCAGAAGGTCCCTAAGCTGGGCGGATTCCCCATCAGACCAGGGAATGCAGGGCTCCTGAGCACCAGGCCCGGTGGCGCTGTCTTTCCTTGCTGTGGAGCGGCAGGAGCAGCCTTCCCAGCCCTCCCGATCGATCACACCTCACACCGCCCACCTGGTAGGAGAGCAGCCCATCCCACTGGTGCTGCTGGGCAGCCGTGCTGTACATCCACTTGAGGGCGGCGTCCTTGATGAAGACCGACAGGGCTCGCAGGATGAAGGATGCAAAGAGGTTCAGGTGGATGTAGTTCCGGGTGCAGTGCAGGTGCCTGAGGGAAAACGTGGGCCCCTTTCCCTGGCAACGGCAGCCACACTTCTGCGCTACCCCTTCCCCACCCGTCGGGCATGTCTCCAACGCGGGGGGCTGTGCTCAGTTCCTCCTTCCTCTGTGGGGGTCCACCTTCCCCATAACCTCGGAGATCCTGGGCCAGCTCAAGTCCTGCCTCTCCAAGAAGCCTCCAGTGGGGCAGTCACCCCCTCCGTGCTCTCCCTTTGGCACGGCACTCTTTTTTATGGTCTCGCATAGCCAAAGAGATGGGTGTGTGAGGATCAGTTTCCCCAACGGGACTTTGCTTCTTCTTGACGGGGACCCACAAGTTAACGACTGTCCTGTTCACAGAGGCAGATCAGGGCTGGAACGGGCAGGAGTTCAGATGCTCATATCCTTTTGTGTAAAAAGGCACAGCAAATTAGAAATACAAAGGTAGTTTTCAACCTGATAAAAGCTCCGGACCCTACCAGAAGGGCTTGTGACTCCTTAAAACCAGGAACACAGTTAGGAACTATGCTGTTGTCAGCTCCATTCAACAGACACTACAGATCCTGGTCGCTGTACAGCAAAGGGGTCAAAGAGGACAAGACTTAGCAAATCTAACAAGAAAACGGGCAAGATCATTATGGAGATTATAAAGCCTGCTTAAAATCCGTAAAGAAAAATTAAGGGACGATGCATAGAAACAGCGCATGTATGGACAGAGGGACCCGCTCTCTTGCAGGAGTTTATTAGTTCCCCCAACATTAACTAATAAATTCAACACAGCTGCAATAAAAGCACCCGCATTTTTGTCGAGGGACTTTAAAAGCTTTTAAAGAACAGCTAAAGGCCAAGAGAAATCCAGATACTCTCAACAACACAAAAGAGGCTCAGGCTGTAAGACAAGGAAAATTCCCAGTAGGTCTTTATGAGATAAGACACCACGCTTTTGGGTCAGGGACGGAAAGGCCAATGGAAAGGGAACCAGTGACAGGAAGCAACTCATAGATACACGGGGCCTTGGTGCACAGGGGAGGAACTGAGAGAGAGAGGTTAGGTCATCACCAAACACTATTGTGGTAATCAATCATATGTACACATGGAAAAAGGAAATTAAGAAATTAAATCCCCCATGTTCAGCATACACAAAAATCATGGTGAAAAATTACGGTGGATCAGAGACCCATAAGAAAAAGAGCAAACCTCTCCAACTTTTTAGTAGAAAATAGATGTGATTATGTTTATGGCCCCCCAGATAAAGAAAGGTTTCTTGAAGATGAGCATAAAGAAATATAGTCTTTGGGAAAAATAATTTTTAATCAATTGATAAAGTTAATTTTTTATCAATGGACAACGCAGACTGATAAACTGAGCAACTTCACTGTATTAAAATGCAGATCTTCTGTGCATAGAAGGCACCAAAGAGTGAGTGAAAAAATACACTACAGATTCAAAGAAGGTACATCCTGGCTTAGTATCCAGAATAATGAAGGCCTAAAATACGCAGGAAGAAGCCAAATATACCAACTAAAAACTAAGCAAAGGACATGAGCAAGTTTTCAGAATATGAAAATAGCTTCTTATCGCTAGTCATCTGGTAAAGGAGTAAAGGAGAACTTCTCACACTTCAGATTAGCAACACAATTCTGAACTGTTAAGCACGGATGGGAATGCTGAGCTGAGGGGCCTCTCTTCCTGCTTGAGAGAGGGCAAGTGAAACGTTCCCTTCGGAGAGCAACTCACCACCACAGGTAACAGGCAAAGCAGGTGGCGTTTGCTGGGCAATCTACCCCCAGTTACATGGCCCCCTGCACCCCACAGGGTGTCATGCGTAAGAATGACTTTTGGAACAGAGTTTGTCATTCCGAAAGAAAGAAAAAAAGGGGACACTCCAAGTATCCACCAACATGACTACAGACAAACCAGTAGTGTGACAATAACGGAATTCGAGGCGACAGTTAAAATTAACGCAACAGAAACCCTGCCTCGGTGGGCATGAGTCCACTGAGATGCTGGGCCACAAGATAATCACAGATGGGTATGTACAAGGCACTGTTAAAGGCACACGAGACCTCGCTGTATGCTTCTACAGAGGCTTACAAAGATGGTACAGGAGTACGGAAAGGGAAGGGATTACAAAGGTCAACTGAGGGGTTTGGCTCTGGTGGTGGGCAGGGAAGGGACCTGCTTGGACAGGGTCCCTAAGTCACTGTACTCTGAATCCTGGACTAATTCATCACAGAAGAGGAGGCTATTCACCCAGTAAATGTGTGTACTGAGCGCTGACTGTATGGCTGTCCTGGGCCACATTCCTTGAGGACAAGAAGAAGGGTGCCACTGCCCCTGCTGCTTGGTGTCCTGAGGTCCCCACCCTCAGAATTCCTCCTGCCCTGGAACCCCACTGTCTCGGTACAGCCCAGAAGAAGAGGGAGAAAGCTGTCCCCAGCTCCGACTCAGGAAGAAGGATCTCATTTAGATTTGACCTCAGGAAGAACTTTTCCACCGAGGCTAGTGAGTGCCAAAGACAGCAGGATCCCTAAGCACAGAATCTTTTCTAAAAATCATAATGACTTTTTGATCGGTTAAGTCGCATTTGCTCACTGAAGAGGGTCCCCAGAGTTTCCACCCACTGGAAAGCAGGCTGGGGGGGGTGTCCTTTTTTGCAGTCAGATAGATGCACCTAGGCACATAGCAGAGATCCTGCTGGGGACAGAGCACGGGGCCATCCTCAATCTCCTGAGCTTTGGAAAGGACCTGCTGTGCTGTCCTGTTGGTTTGGAGAGCGAGTGGGAAGCAGTCCCCACCCAGCTGCAGCCCCCCTTACCTGAAGCTGAGCAGGATGGCAGAGGCGATGACCAGGGCGGAGAAGGACAGCGCGTAGCCCACTGTGTAGATGATGTAGAGAGACAGGAGCTGCTCCTCTGGGGAGCTCTGTGTGCACACAGGGACACGAGTGTGCTATGTGGTGCACCTCGAGGCCCTCTTCCCCACTCTTCTTTCCTGGGCCCCAGGGACAGAGGTGGGGCCTCAAATCAGACCCCCTGGGGATTCTGGAACTAAGAAAGATATTGATCTGTGGAGATGGTGCTGGGCTCCTGGGGTCCAGTTTAATGCCAGAGCAGTGAACGTGCACCCAACAGCACGGTGTGTAAACCCAGAGGCAGAGGCTGGACGAGATGCCCACAGATGGACCCCATGACATGGAGACCCCCCCACTGCCCTTTCTGGGACTCAGAACCCCTGCTCAGCTCACTTTCTCCCCGCGCTTGGACTCCTCGCACTCCGACAGGTCCCTCCACGGCAGGCTGGAGTTGTCCCTGTGCAGCCAGAGGCCCTCTGGGGTGCAGAACCTGTACACATGGCCCTGCAGCACTGGGTGGGAAGATGGGCAGCTGAGTCTCAGCCCAGGGTGGGCAGCAGGCCCTGGGCTGGAGCCCCCAGCCCTCCCCAGCCTCGCTGTCCCAGCACTGGCACTTCTGAGTTAGTGACACGCCTGACGCCTCTACACGCACCATTCCCCAACACACGTACACACACACGAACACAAGCACACACCATGATGGTCCAGGCCTGGGACGGGGCATCACCAAGATGAGGACCACTAGACTCCTCCTCCTTAGCACTTGGGCGTGCAGTTAGAGGAATCTACATCTCTGAGATGAGGTCACTTTGGTCCAGATTCAGCCTCACTCACATCACACTACTGCCCAGAGCCGGGCTGGGCAGCAGCGGCCCTGCCAGGTCCAGTCACTCTCCACGATTCCTGAGTCTCCACATTCAGCCCCCATCTCCCTCTCACACTCCTTGGGGTGAAGAGACCCTAAGACCAAAGCCGGTACTGCAGAGCTGAGAGGGGATGAATCAGTTCCAATTTGGGGAGCCCCAGTCTGAGGGAGTCGCCGGAGAGAGAGAGGCGATCCAGTGATCCTTCTGGAATGAAGGCTCTCAAAGAAAAATCAGAAAAGTCCTCAGAAAGGGGGTGGTGCAAACACAGCCCCAGAAGAGCTGGCAGTGGGACACCACCTGTGACCACTGTCACCCCACCTGGACGCCCAGCTGCTGGGGCAGTCTCCCTCCATCCCTCCTACCCGCCTACCCAGGGAGATGGGTGGCTTTGTGGCCCCAGGTTCACGGGAGGCCAGGACAGTGCTTTCTAGGAGGAGGGGCCTCATTCCTTACCTCCCCAGGACATAAGTCAGGCACCAAGGCCAGGGTACAGGGGACAAAAGGGTGAGGGGAGGTGGGCTGGCACAGGGACTCAAGGAGGGAAGCTGCAGCCCCAAAACACATTTTAAAAGGATTTTAAAGACCAGCTTCCTGTACTGTGACAGGAAAGGAGAATGGAGAAGCCACCAGAGGCCCTGGGTGACAGAGACTGGTCAGTGTCCCGATGGGCGAATTAGCAGTGAGGAGAGGTTCATGGCCTTGTGTTTTGTGGGGAGCACTGACAGCCCCCAATCGGGCCCCCAGGGGCACCCTTTTAGGCCAGGGGCTCCATTACACAGATCCCCAGCCTGGTGAGGTGGCAGGGAGACCTTTACAGTGGGGCCCGTCATGCAACAGGACCTTGTCCTCCCCGCCACCCAGCAGGGCAGCCTCCCAGCTCTTCCTGTCCTCGTTCACCCTCCTTTCATGAACAAGCCCTGAACAAGAGAAAGGCATCATCTGGGCACACGGCAGGCAGATTAGCTCAAAGCATTACTTCCTCTGGACAAACCTGCCTTTTAAGACTTCACCCAGAAGAGAAACAAAAACCTAAAAAGCTAATGGCAGAACTTCCAGTGGGGACCAGCTGTGGGCTGAGCACTTGGTTACTAACAAAATCAGGCCCATAGGAAGACAAAGAGGGACAGGCAAGCTTCTGATTTTAGCAACCTGAAGGGAGCGTCTCAGGCCCCAGGACACTTCTCTTATCTGTGGCATGGATGCTGGACATTCTCTCCTGGGGTCAAGGTTTTTGCTGGGCAGCAAGATCAGTCGATGGTTGCAGATACGGAGACCTGGGCCGACTCCATGAAACTGGCGTCAGAGCCTGGCCTGGCAGCCCAGCTGGAGGGCAGGAAGGGAAGAGAATTCGGGGAGGCCAGGGCGCCCCGGGAAGGGAAACAGTGGCCCACAGCGGTGTGGCTTCCCACAGCTAGCACACAGGCACAGCAGGCACGCTGCCATGGCAGGGCCTCTCCCTACCTGTCCCACACACACCTGCTTTGCAGGCTGGGCTGGCACAGAATCTGTTCCTCCACATCTGTGGTTTGCACATCAGAACCACATTATGAGCTCGGTGCTGTTGATCCCATTTTACAGATGAAGCAAGAATCTCTAAGAAGCCACACAACTTGCCCAAGATCACCAGCTAGGAATAGCATGGTGAAGACTCTCCCCCTACCTCTTGGGCCCCGGAGGCCAGGTTAGCAGCCAAACTTGTTGCTAAGTCAACAGTGACCATGTGCCATTTCTCCTCCGCCTTTCCTCGGAGCTTGGATTTCCCACCATGCAGCCCTTCCCAGGAGGTTCCCCTTGCCAGTGTAGCCGCTGGCAGCTGGCACTGCCCCGGGGCCTCTGCTCAGAGCCAGCTGGGGAGGTGGGTACAGACATGCACATTCCTGGCACAGAGTCAGGAGATCGCTGTGTGCCCGAGAAGTCCAGCCAGCCTGCTGTCAGTTCCCCTTCATTAGCATCCAATATTAAAAGCCAGGGCTGTTCCCGGTGGAGTCCGTGGTCCCTAGGCGCCCATCCCGGCTGGAGGTGGGCTGCATCCTGCTCGGCCCTGCTTATCAGCCCAGCTTTATCTGGCCCTGGAGCAGCTGGCCAATCACAGCCAGGGGCTCGGCTCCACTTGTCAACAGGAGGTGAACCCGGGCAGCCTCCGCATGCCAGGAGGCCCAGGGATATTTCATTAAGTCAGCCCCTGGTGCTGGAAATAAAACCCCCAATTAAACACTTCCCCTCCCGGAAGCGGCCTCGGCAGCGCCTGTAATCAAGCTAACAGCCGCCCTTCCACGTGGACGCGAGCACTCAGGGCTGTGGAGAGCTGCTCATGAATCCATTAGTCGTTGCACCGTGGCAACAGAGGTGGCAGCCAGGCCTGCTGGGCCCCATTCTACAGACAGGGGCGCTGAGACTCATATCGGTCCTCCCTGCAGTGGTGGGAAGGGTCAAAGGCAGACTGGCCATGAAGGCACCTGCTCGGGTCAGGGTAAAGGGTCGTGCACGGCCTCAGGAGCCAGGAGGGGGAGCCCCAGGGCTCTGGGTCAGATCCAGCTGTGGGACCCTGCATGGCTCACTCCACCTCCCAGGTCTCGGTCTCCTCAGCTGTGAAAGGGGGTCCTTCCTCAAGAGACGAAGCTCGGGAAACGCCAGTGCAGAGGAGGCTTGCAAAACCCAGCCGCCGTGAAGGCTCTGTGCGCCCCACCCTCCTTCAGGGAGGCCACAGTGAATGGTACCACTCCAGCCAGAGCTCCTGGGGCCCAGCTCGGGCCTCAGTCTCCCCTTAGCAACCCTGGGCTGCCATAAGAACTCCCAGGCTCAATATCACGCAGGGAGGCACCTGCCAGAGTTTCTAAATTGTGAATTATAGGCTATTTTAAAGGCTTTTTATGACTCTCATATAATTAGAACTAAGCTAACAGATAGGTAGAAATCAGGAGAGGGGCAGCTAATGAGGCTGGAATGATTTGTAATCAGTAGATTCACGCTGGTGAGTAAATAAGGCTGCTGAGGTCCCCTCAGGCACCCAAGGGGTACCAGGAAGCCCCTGCGGCCCCACACACAGCCTGGGTCCCCAGGTGCTTCCCAGGGACACGTCTTCCCGGCACTCATCTGCTGCCACCCTCTGCACCACCCTGACCCCCAAGTCCCCAATCCCAGGATAGAATTCCAGGGCTTTGCTGGCCTCCCTGGGACGCTGTATAGCTGTGTAGCCTGAGGCCTGGCACTGTGTCCGAGGTGCCACCTGAATGTCACCCCCCTCCCTCTGTGGACAGCCCTTCGGCAGCTTCTCCCAGTTCTTCCAGGCCTGACCCTGATGCCACCTGTTCCTGCCCAAGGCCACACCCCGGGCACACATTGGCTCTGACCTTCCTCAGCACCTCAGTAGCTTCTCGGCACACCCCGCAACCCTGAAGGTCTCGGGGCACCTCTAGCTCCAGGTGAAGACTTAGCTTAGCACTCTGACAATTGTTCTGACCTTGATTCTCCTCCAAAGCAGCCACTTCTGCCCAGCTCTGTACCCCAGAAGGCTGACCCTGGGGACAGCATCACTCTGTCCCCTGTCCTTTGCTGCCTTGGGGCAGTGGGCAGCACTGAGATGGAAGACCCAGGCCGGCCGTTTCTCCCTGCCTGATACTGAGGCTCCAGCAGTGGACTCACCTCTCTGTGGCCGCGGTCCTGCTGGTGGCTTCTCTATAAAAGCGCCAGCTGCCAGGTGGACCTCAGGCCCAGTTCCTGCCCCTGGCTTCTCAGGCCTAGGGGTGCTAAAGCTTTCCAGCACTGCGGTCCTCAGCACACGGTATACCTACTTGGCCCTGTGAGGGACCCTAGCTCAGCACAAGGAAGCTTCAGAACTGCCCCAACCTGCTCCCACACGGCTTGGGTGGGCTGGGGAGCCCCCAGTGCCAACCGCCTCTGCCAAGGGGGTGCCAGGCCAAAGATGGCAATTATGCCTCAGGATCCTGTTTTTTTCTAGACTCACAGGAACCAGTGGCAGACCAGGAACCTATAGGTTGAAGTCGCTGTGTGAGTGCCTGTGAGGCCCTTAACTCCGGAGAGAGGAGGCAGCCTCGGTGATTCTGAGTGTCAGAGAAGGGAGTAAATTAGCCGGGCGCGGGGGAGGGGAGGGAGCTGGCAGGGGGCCGCGCAGAGGCCGTTATCTTCATGGAGAAAGCAATAAAACCGTGTTCACTCGTAAACGGGCACCACCAGGACCTATTTCCTGCTCAAATAAAATTAAAGGTGATGGATGGAGCCACAAGCAGCCGGCAGAGCTGGGGGCGCTCGGTGCTGAGTGATGGGCCCTGTCCCCTGTTCGGCTCCCAGGGGTCTAGAGGCCCAGTTAAGGCTGGCCACGCAGTGGGCGGTCCCCAGCCCGGGAGAGGCGGGCAGGTGTGTGCATGGGCGGGCGGTAGGGTGGAGGTACGCAGGCAGGAGGGAGCCCCGACAGTCACCCTCTCCCCCAGATCTGCTGCTCCCCACCTCACCACCCTGTCCCAGCTTCCCAGGGGTAAGTCAGGCCCAGAGAGATCTGGGGACCTGCTCCTGTCACACAGTCAGGCCGGGCAGCAGCTACTGGCGGAGCCACTAGATGGTAGGGCTCCTGGCACTTCTCCCCTGCAGAGGTCACCCAGGCCACTCAGCGGTCCCAGGCCAGAGCTGCACACACGGGCAACCCACCCCTGCCAATCAAGGAAATGACACATAGCACTGAAACACAGCGACTTCAACCTATAGGTTCCTGGTCTGCCACTGGTTCCTGTGAGTCTAGAAAAAAACACGTAGCATCTCTGTGCCTCAGTTTCTCATCTGGAAATGGAAAGGCCGTGGGTTACTTGCCTCAGAGGGTGGGTGGGAAGCCTCAAGGAGGTATGTGTGCGAAGCGGTGAGCAGGGCCATCCCTGTGCTCTGAGGCCTGTCCTGTGCCTGTCTCTCTGCCGGCCCCCGCCACCCTGTGCACCTCACTTCTGCCAGAGGACGCGATGGGATGAAGCCCAGGTCAGGCCCTGAAGGGCCGCCTCCTCCAGGAAGACCTCTGGCTTCACCCATCCTGGGCTCATTCTCACTGCTGCCTGTGGGCTGTGTTCTGCGTGGGGTCAGGCCCTCCCAGCTACCTCCGAGGTCAGAGCAGAGCCAGGTTCAAATCCCAGCTGTGCTATTTACCACCTCATTAAACTCCTGGGTCCTCAGTTTCCTCATCTGGACAAGAAGCAGAAGCATGGAGTAGTTGTAAGAGTAAAGGAGAGCGGGGCGTGGTGGCGCACGCCTATAATTCCAGCAGGGGAGGCTGAGGCAGGAGGATCGCTGTGAGTTGGAGATCAGCCTGGGCTGTACAATGAGTTCAAGGTCAGCCTGAACTACACAGTGAAACCCTGTCTCAAAGAAAAGAGTGAAGGAGTGACCTTTCAGGAGAAGACCGTGTCAATAAATACTATTGACACATTTTATGGAGGGAAGCGTCTTTCTCCCTTTATGGAGACCCAGCACCTCGTGGCCAGGCTTCTGGACTTCACTATCCACTCCCCACTCCTAGCCTCAGCACAGGAGGCTGGGACAGAGCGACAGTGTGAGGACATATTAGTCAGCCCTCAAGTCAGGGGGCCCCTGCACCTCGGAGATCTGTTTCCTTCCCACCTACCTAGGGACCTTTCCCAATGTAAGGGCCATGCCACCAACACCCGACCACGGCTCCCCGTGAACCCCTAAAGAGCCAGAAAGCAGACAAGAAGGGTTACCTAGGTACACATAGTACAGATGCACAGTCCCAGGACACCCTGTGCAGCCCCCGTCTGTCCCCGCGTGGCTTCTTCCCCAACCACTAGGTCAGGGGAGTCACTTTCCATCTTAAGTCAGACCCCACACTGCCCCCCACGCCTGCCGACACCCCGTCTCCCAAGTGAGGCAGGCCATTGGCTTGAAGGCCTGGAAACTCTCTGCAGTGGCCAAAGCCACATCTCAGGGCAAGGACCGGCCAGCTCTCCCACAGGCCCTCGGCCTCCACGACACAGGGAAGGCAGCAGACTCACCGCTGCTGGCCCAGGGCAGGTACCAGGGGCAGCTGACGTTCACGAAGGAGCCCGGGGGCCCATCCGGCCAGCAGGCGTAGTCATCAAAGGTCCTGTTGCAGAACAGGCCTGGGGAGAGGAGAAGAGTCTCTGAGTGTCTGTTTGTGCCTGGCTGGGTGCTTCTCCCCTCCCCACCCCAAGGCCCCCACACTGTAGAGCTGCACCCCACTCCCCTGCAGCGAGTGCCTACTATATGCCGAGCACTTTCCTTCTGTGTAAGACATCAGTATTTCCTGCCCCAAGCGCTGTGGGCATAAAGGCTGTCACACAGCTAACTTACAGTAGTAAGTGCTCAATAAACAATTCTTCTAGGCCTAATTTTAAACCGCACTTCACAGGTCAGAGGGAAATGGCAGCTCAGGAAGCTGAGAAGACAAATCTTCCTCTGTGCTATAATCACGGGCCAGGATTTGAACCTGGCCCGTCTGGCTCCAGTCACCACCCCCATGAACTCGCCACAGTATTTATTGTGGTTTGTTTTTCCTTTGTTTGCGATACTGGGATTGAACCCAGAGTTTTTTCACTGAGCTACATCTTCAGTTCTTCTTAATTTTTTTGTTTGTTTTGAGACAGGGGTTCCCCTAAGTGGCTAAATTGCCCAGGCTGGGCTCAAACTTTTGATCCTCCTGCTTCAGGCTCCCAGAGTGCTGGGGTGACAGGAATTGGGTGACCAATTCCTGATAGCAGGTGCTCTTGGATCTGCTGGTTCATCAATCCATGCATAGGCTGGGACGGGCTAAGGAGACACAGGTGGAAAGGCGGGGTCCCTACTCCGATAGGCTCACACTAAGGGCAGGAGGGACCAGACGGGACAGATGAGACAGGACAGAAACAGCTGCCCAGAGCTGACGAGGTGGGTGGGAAAGGGCCAAACACAACAGCATCCCTGGGGAAGAAAGAGCCTGAGCTGACCGTCAAGGACCTGCGGATTCGGGACAGGTGGAAAGTGGACAGAGGGCATTCGGGAGAGGGGACAGCTCCACCCAGGGACGGAGGCACAGGGCGCATGTGGCGTCCCAGACAGGAAACCATGCCCAGCCATGCACTCGGGGTCCATCGAAGCCTTCTGAGAGCTGGCTGGGCCCCAGCGACACTCACCGGTGGCCGGGGCTGGAGTCTCAGTCAGGTTGCGCTGGCACTGACGTCGGTACTCTCGCCATTTCTGCACTGTCTCCGACAGGGACACAGTGGCACCCTGGAGGGGGGAGGGGAGCAGAAATGGGGCCCCCGTGGGTCCAGCCAGCCCTTCTCCCGCCCCCTGCCACCCCGATGTGCTCTTGATTTCTTGAGCTCCTGGAGACCTCATAGTCCTAACCTTACTGGGCACTGGTCACCTCTGACAGGAGAGGAACAAGTGTGTGTCACACAGGGGACCCAGGTGCAGCCTTTGACATCTGTACCCCTCCCAGGGACCGTGCATAGCTCGATGTGTTGTTGGCACACAGAAAACTGCTACTGAATGGATGTCTTTGGGGGTGCACAGGTGAGGGGGAAGAGGGGAGGGTGTCACTCATTTGTGGTGTCACCCGCTCTGGCTGAAGAAGAGACTTCCTGAGGGCCAGGCCTTGGTCACTGCCTGGGGTTCCCCTCTGTCTGGTGCCCAGGCAGCCTGTCTGGAGACTACTTGCACTTGTGACCTTTCTAGAACTCCTTCTAGAAAGCAGGGCTTAGTGGGAGAGGGACTCCGTGAAGGGCGCACAGGGCCTCAGGAGGTGGAGCCTGGTGACTTCCTGGAGAACTGAGACATGGGGTGTGGTGGCATCTGGTGCAGCAGACAGAGCCAGGATGTCCATCATTAGCAAATGCAATCACGGGTAAAAGAGGACAACAATGGACACCCCAGGACTCCCTCCAGCCCCACCCAGCATCTATACATCTATACGGAGCAGGCAGAGTCCCAGGGCCGGAGGAAGAGTCAGGAAGGTGCCACAACTGACCTTAAGTCTACAATCCCCAGGAGGTCCAGAGTTGGCTGCTGGGCGCACGGTGCCCCCTCCCCACCCAAGCAATCCCTTCCGTCCAGCTCTGCGTGTCGCCTTCGGCGATGCCTGAGGCTGCGGTGCTTTCTGCTTTCATATTTTCCTAAAAGACCTTAAAATTCCTCATTTAGAGGCTGCTATTGCTGAAATGACCAGAGAGCCCCTTGTATACAATTTAGGATCTATACATAATTTAAAACCAAAATTTGCTTCTTGAGATCCCAAACATGTACCCGTGCGTGGAAATTAAATCATCAACAACCCTTCCGAGGCCTGTACCCCTGACTTGCAAAGCCCCAAAGCATGCACGGAAGATGGTTTCTGAGTAAGCCTGCGCGGGTCTGGGCTGAGTCGGGGTCTATGAGACAGCTGTCCTTAGCCACTTGGAAAATTCCAGAATGAGGGGTGTGTGCTTGCTCTGAGCCCCGGGAGCTTCCTTGAAATGAGGAGCTGATGGAGGCTTCCTGAAGGACACAGCTCTTCTGAGAGCAGAGGTCAACATGTGTGCTGTATTTGGGGAGGGGTGTGGAAAAAAGGAGTCAATCACACCAACCACGAAGCCCGTGCGTGACCATAACCACCAGTGAGGGGGCGGCATGGTTTACAGTAGCGTCCTGGAGGATCCATCTTGCCTCCGCCCACCTGCCTCTCTCTCCTTCCCTCTTTAGCCCTGGAAAGGTCTCTTCCTCCCTCCCCTCCGTGCAGCAGCTGCTGGTGGTAAACAGGCAGAGACGGGGAGACGGGGAGACGGAGACAGCCCCTGACGGTATTTGTTTCCAGTAGGAAGACTGGTGGGAGGCGGCCACAGCTGGGAACTGGGGCAGCAGGTGCACCTAGGCAGGAGGCCGGAGGGCTCTGCGACTCCAGGGACAGCACCACGAAGGGCAGCCCGGTCACCCACTCCAGGAGCTGCAGACAGAGGTGGCTCCATCAGCCACCAGCTCTCCGGGAGCCCGGGCTTCTCCCCGCTGGGTGCAAGGGCTGTGTTGCAACAGAACTAGCGCCCTCTCTGCCCACCCCTGCTCAGGATCTACGAGGGATCTCTCTCAGCCTCGCCTGGGAACCTTGGTCTGCAAGCAGAGCTGCCTGGATCTGTGGCCTCTCGGACCCCTGAGGAGCCGCAAGTGGGCCAGGTTCTGGCCTGTGGCTGTGGCGGGGGTGGGGGGGAGTGTGTGGAGGTGAACGGAGGCTGCCTGGCGTCAGAGCTCAAATGCTCTGCAGGAAAGCGAGACAAGAAGTGGCTGGATCGGGTCTTGGTGCAGTGTGAGCTCTGGGGGACTCAGGACCGGGAGGTGGGGACATGGCACTGGACGGTGGGAGGGGGGACGGTTGGCTGCAGGAAGGGAGGGCTTTCAGCAAAAGGGCACAGTCGGGACCAAGACCTAGAACATGGGAACATGGGGACAGCAGGAGAGTGGAGGGGCAGACAGTCACAGGCTGCGGTCTGGGCTGAGGCTGGGTGAGGCTGGGTAGACTGGGTGGGCTGGAGCCCACCTGGATGTCCAGGGGTCATGGTGGTGGGCAAACAGCCCCAGCTGTGAGCTCAGATCTGGGCTTGATCCTGGGGCTTCCAACAAATGAGGCAAGTGTGCAAGTCTGTGTGCAAGTTTTAACTTCTGGCCTCAGTTTACACATGTGAGAATGGGAACAACAGACCTCTGCCCCCCTCTACCCCAGACCACTGCAAGGACCAAGTTAGGGCTTAGAACTCTCCTGGCAGGCGGACAGGGCTCCGTCCATGCAGTGCCTCTTAGGGGCTCTGATTCTAAGAGAGGGCAGAGTGGAAGGAACAGGGAGGCCTGGCTTCCTGGATTTCAGGGTCCCACATTCCTTTGCCTCTAGAAGGAAGAACCTAGCACATTTTCCTGGCCCAGGACCAATCACCCTGCCGAGTCTGTGACATCTTCCAGCAGCAAGTCCAGCCGGTGGCAAAGTGAAGCAGGAGGAGACATGGGGCCCCAGCCTGGGAGGGTGCCAGGTGGCCCCCACTGCCCAGATACGCACCCCCGCCCGGGGTGGGTGTCAGGGGAAGCTGGGGCTTCCCGGAGTGGCCCTGGGAGAAAGAAGGCAACGGGGACAATGCCCAGGTTTGAGGCGTCAGTAAGGCTGGACGTCCCTCAGACTGGGAATTTGGGGTGTGGTCTGCAGAGGAAGTCGTGCACAGAGAGTCCGAGTCTTTGGTTCATATCCCAGCTCTGTCTGTCAACAGAGGACACTTTTAATCTCTTGGGGCCTCAGAGTCCTCATCAGGGGGCACAGTCCGGGACACACACAGGTGACTGCCGAGCCCTGCACAATGGGCAGCGTTGGAGGGAAGACACGGGGAGAGGAAGCCCTGGGCTCTCCATCACCGGAAGGCGCTGCCTCTCCGAGACCGGGCCCACCTGGAAAAGGGCCTCCTGTTTCTCGGTGCCAATACGGCTACCGGATTCTTTCCTTTTCTGGAAACCACTGGGGTAGAGAGGAAGGGGACCTTGGTCTCTCTGGGCACCCAAGAGAGAGAAGGGAAGGTGTGAGGGCCTCTCAGAAGGAGGAAAGGGGGCTTCAGAGACACATTTCCCGAAGCTCCCAACTGGGTCCAGCCTTCAGGCTGCTCAGGGTCCTGGGTCCTGCCTCCCCCCTCTGCGGCCTGCAGGGGCGGCTGCCAGGTCTCCCTTTTCCCCCCACTTTTTCTTGTTACGGGCTTCAGATAGGCGGGCAGGGAAAGGCCAGCCATGCACACCTTCTCAGGGGCACAGGGACCGCACACTGCCACGCACACTTTAAAGACATTCCCAGAGTCTCCTCCCACGTCATACACACCCCACCAGGCACACACTCACATGCTGCCCCCAACCAAGGCATACATACTCAAATCCTTGGCTGACACACCAGACCCACATAGACACTGTGACAGGCACACCTCTCTCTCTCTCCTGGACAGCGACATGGCCAGCAGACATCTGTTCACTTGCCAGGATTTCTCTCTCTCTCTCTTTCTCTCTGTCTCTCTCTCCCTCTCACACACACACACACACACACACACACACACACACACTTTCTCTCAGATGTTCCCATAGACACAGTGTCACATTGGGATCACAAACACACACATGGATACACAACTACATTGTTGCACACATAGCAACGTGCACCAGTGCAATGCCACACACAAATATACAGAGCAACAGGGGCTCCCAGAGCCCGCACCCTTCTCCAGGCCCATCTCTGTCTTTATCACAGGTCTGTCTACTCGTGCACAGCCGGGTGTGCACACAGCAGGGGCAGGGTGCAGCTGCGGAAGGACCTGTATTTCCTGGAACCATGGTGGAGAGAGCCCAGCTCAGCATGAGGTCCCCACCAACCGAGGCACAGCCTTGGACTCTGTCCACCAGCAGTTCCCAGTCCCCAAGGACAAACGATCCACTCCCCTGGGGTAGCTCAAGCTGCCACCTCAGGTGCCAGAGCTTTAATCCTCTCCAAGAGCCGTGTGATGAAGTCCTGTTTACAGGTGAGGATGCCGAGGTTCGGGACGGTCAAACACCCTACAGAAGATCAGCAGGTAACAGCAGATATTTGAACCCCAAGTCTGTCTGGCTTTAACTCCGGGTGTTAAAGTCTGTCTGTCTGTCTGTCTGCCTATCTGCTTAGGAGGCCAGCTCCCTCCTGGGGAGTCGTGGAGGTGAGGAGCAGTGAGGGGAGTAGTCTACCCCAGGGACAAGGCAGCAGTGGCCCAGGTCACCTTTTTTGGAAGTCATTGTGACCATCTCCCTGCCTGCAGGGAAGCTGCTTCCAGCTTCCCCAGACCTGCGGAGGAGGAGGGCCCAGCCCCAGCCCCAGCCCCAGCCCCATGCACTTTTTATCCTTTCTGTTTCTCAGCTGTGGGTTCACTTCAGCCAGGGAACTCTCCTTTCCCCAGCTTTTGTTCCCCAAATTGACACGAGGGAAGTGACTCTATTCCTGTTGACCTCATAGAAAATAAAATGCAGGGTTCATTATTCTAGCGTTGGATCTGCATGTGTGAGGTTTTGTCACAGTTACCGCAGTCTAACTCAAGGCGGCTGTCACTTCCCTGCAGAGGCCAGAGGCCTCCCCCTGAAGCTCCCCGCTCTCCACTCAGTGCCCGGCACCGCCACCCTGGTCCTCTTGCGGCCCAGGACTTCGAAAGGAAGGACCAAAGGAAAGGGCAGGTTCAAGGAGCCTGGCACCTCTGGGACCGGAAGCCAGGGGAGGAGACAGCCCAGGGAGCTCTCCTGGTTCCCTCCCAGCCTGCAGCAGCAGGGCACCGGTAGTGAGTCTGCAGTCCCGTCCTGCAAAGAGCTCAGGTTCACCAGGAAAGCCCCGGCCTGGCTGGCACGGCATGACAAAGGGGCTGTGGCATGGGGGAGGGGGTCACAGGGACCATGGGCGGCAGTTGGCACTGGGGAACCAGGAAAGGCATCGAATGAGGCTGGGAAAGGATCTGGGGGCTGAAAAGGTGCCGGCACCTTAGCTGAGAGGCACATCTGTCTACATCTGGTTCTCGGGTAGTGTATGGAGTTTGCCCCCTCTTGCCTGGCCTGTCATCCGTTCTGGTACACATTTTAAGACTACGCGGGCCCACTCCCCAGAGACGTCAGTCCTTTAGGTCTGGGAGTAAGGTGGTGAGAAGACAGTGTTCCCAGAAGCAAGACAGGACGCCCAAGCCTGCCCTCCGTTCTGCCCAAGCACGTCCCAGCATCTCTGGACAACTGCCCTCTCCAGGGGCAGCTGACCACCTTCCTCAGGCCAGGAGCTGGGGAGAGGGGGTGGAGGAAAGGCAGGAGAGCCAGAGGGGGGCAATGCAAGGGTCCACCAAGCAGGTCAGGGCATTCCTGCGTGTCCCAAGATGAGGTCTGGTGTGGGCTGTCAATCAGGGGGCTCAGAACCGGTGTGCAGGGTGTGTGAGGGGGCCCTGGCTGCTTCCTGCACCCAGCTTCCTGCACCAAGCTTCCTGCATGTCTGCTGCAGGGGCTGGGGGGAGGAGGTGGCACTTAAGTTCCATCTGGGAGGTCACAGAGGAAGGACAGCAAGCTGCCACCGCAGGGACCCTGGGGCTATGAGTCAAAGGCTGCACCTGGGGCCTGGGGCGGGGGGAAGCCCGGTGTCCCCCCTGGTCCCTCTCGGCCCTCCGAGACCTCTCAGCGCGTTTGATGGAGGATGGAGCAGGGGCGGTAGAGGGGAAACCGCAGGCCAGGGGTCCTGGGCCCGGGCTGTGCCAGGGCGACTGGCACGGGGTTCAGAAGCACAGGAGTTGGGAAAGTGGTTTCGGGAAGGGCAGAGCGAGACGCAGCGCCCAAGTCAGCGCAGGGCGCCCTCGGGCAGCTGGCGCCCGACGAGGGGTGCGGGCGGCGGGAAGCGGAGCCCGACCCGGGGTGCGGGAGCTGCCCAGCGTCGTCCGCCCGGGCCACCAACTCTGCGCGCCCCTTGGTCCCCAGGCCCACGGCGTCCTCGCCTGCGGTGGCGGAGTTTCGCTCAAGTCCGGGCCGGGCAGCACCCCGCGCCCGCGGCGCTCCCTCCCGGTCCCGGCCCGCGGGGCCCGCTCACCTGGGGGCGGGGGCCGGCCCTGCCCACCGCCCCGAGCAGCAGGAGCGCGAGGCGCAGCGCGCGGGGGGCGCCGGCCATGGCGGGGCGCTCAGGACCGGGCCATCGCTGCCACCTGCGGAACCGGCGGCGACTGATCCAGGCTGCGGGAGGCGCGCGGCGGGCGCGGGGGAGGAGCCGGCGCGGGGCCGCCCCGCCGCGGGAGGGGCCGGGCACTCGCGGTCCCCCGCCCCGCGCCCCGCGCCCCGAGTCCAGCGCCCGAGTCCGCGCGCGGGCAGCGCAGGGGCCGGGCCGCTGGCTGTGCCCGTCAGCGACCAGCGGCCGCCTCCCGCCCCCGCACTTGCGCCCAGACGCCTCCAGGCTCTCCGGCCCGAAGCCGCCCTGCACCCCCTCTGCCAGGTGCCCCGAAGGAAACTGAGGTCTGGAAGTGGACTTCCCCCAGCACTCGCTCCCCAGAGGGACTTGGGAGGCAGAGCCACCCGGCCTGGCCATCCCTCCCCAAGTCCTTGAGGGAGGCTGGGGCACACAAGCACAGGGGCGGGGGGGGGGGGGAATGCACCGCGGAACCCCAACAGCATCTAGGCGGTCCTCGCCACCTGGCAACCTGGGGAAACACGGTGCCGGTGGGGGAGCACTGAGGCACCTGGCTGCCTTTCTAGAAGCTTCCTGAAGCTGACACCCCTTGCAGCTCCAGGGCCTGCGGGTCTAGCCACCGTGCAGGTGTGGCCCCGCGTGCCCATGGCTGTGCCCAAGTGCCTGTGGCTCTGTGTTGTGTGGCCTGCTTGTGCGGACGCTGGGTTTTACCTGCCCCTGTCTCCACCTCCTGTCCCTACTCACGGTATGGAGCAGCAGAGCTGCAGATTCCAGCGTCCGCTTTGCACCCCGGATGCCATGCTGAGGGTCCTAGTTTATCTTACATTAGACAAGATAAAGTAGGTGGGAAAATGGGTCCCCCACACACACCAAGAGCTTTGGTGCCACTGTGAGGAAAGTGGGTCCTTGTCCCACCAGGCCTGCCAAGGGGGTTCATCTGGGACCATTTCGAAGAGAAAGTCTGTGAGAACAGCTGTACTTTGGGGGAGAGAACTGAAAACTTGTCAAACCCCTGACAGAGGCAGGACCTGTCTGAGCCAGAGACGGCCGGAGGGAGAAGCCGCAGCGTCCATTCAGCAAGAGGGGTCCTCTCTGGCCAGCTCTGCCTCCATCTCTAGACAGTCCTTTACGCCTCCCACTGCCCAGAAGTCAGTCCATCGGGCTTTCTGTGTGATTAGAGTCTCAGCAGCAAGTCCAGAAAACTCCATCTCCAGGAACAGTGGTGTAAACCAGGGCTGCCATGCAAAGGCTGCAGATTCAGCAGAGGGCTGGCGTGGCTGCTTCCTGATCATCAAGATCCCTGCACTGTCTACCTTTCCTCATCTTGTGGTCCAAGGTGTCTACTTAGGATCCAAAGTGGCTGCTCGGGTTCCAGTCTTGAAGTCCTAATTCCAACCAGCAGGAAAGAGGAACACACCCTCTCTATCCTTAAAGATATCTCCTGACCGTGGCAGCCACTGGTCAGAATTTAATCACGTGGGCACTGCTGGCTGCAAAGGAGGCTGGGAAAAGGTACCCTTTAGTCCAGGGAGTCACCAGCATATTGGGCATTTTATTACTCTGTCTCCTGTTGCTAATAACACACCACAGACAGTTTAAAGAGTTTCATTGCGGCTAATTATTCATATCAGAAGTTGAGGGGCCGCCTCTGGTGAAAGCCTTCCTGTTGGTAGAGTCTCTGTTTTGTTTATTTAATGACTATCTGTGGAACACTTGAGCAGGGTCCTGGGGCACAGTGTTGCGGGCCATCCCGCCTGCAGAGAGATTATGTTTTAGTGCAGGAGGGAGGCAATAAAGGAAGGGTAACATCACTGGGTGTGGAGCGCAGTTGTGATACCCACTGTTGTCACAGAAGATGCTGTTAAAGATCCACCCACAAAAGACCACTTTCTCTGTGCCAGGGCCTGTCTCTGGATGGAAGGAATTACTACTTTTATGTCTGACCCCTAGGAGCAGCTGTGAGCCACAGATGAAGAGCATCAGAAGGACACATGTCCCCAGGTCCTGGCCCACTGGATAGGACAGCTCAGAGGCCTGTTCTGCGTCGCCCAGGGGTACCCAGATTCCCACAGCAGTCCCCTGCTCAGTCGAGCTGGTGCGGTGCTGTCTTTTGCTTCCCTGTCTCGCTTGCATATTTGCTGTCTGCAGTCCCAAATAAGACAAACCACTTTGTCCTTACATCCTCATTCCAGGTCTGCACCTCGGCGTGCCCAGTCGCAGAGATCGGGCTCGGCGTGTACCCAGGAGGGCAGGGCTGGCCCTCCCAAGACATGGGGGGTGGGTAGCTGACACTGTCATCCGAGCCTCTCCTGTTAGGGCCCCAGCTCCAGAAGGAACCCCGTGCTGCACCTCAGCACTGCACAGCTCTGTCCTTCTTGTGTGTCCTTTCTGGCTCTGTCTCCTGCTGCCACCATCGCTGTGTCCCGTGGGCCCTGGAAGACAGGGTGGACGTGTGGGAGGACTTGGTTCCCCCAGCCAGAAGGTAAGTCAGCTTCAGAGTCCATCCGAATTTGGATTCCTTTTTATAAGAACATAGCTGCTCCCCGGGACTCTCCCCCAGGCTCCTGGAGGATGACCTTTCTCAACCACCATCAGACCTTGCCATACCGCCCCCATGGCCCCCCATGCCCACCCAGAGCAGCAAGTCCTCCAAACCCAGCAGCACCCGGGGAGCTGGCTTAGCTCTCCTGAGGGACCCTCGCCATCTTCACCCTCTGTCCTTGCACACGGTCCCCGCTGTCTGGGGCACCCTTCCCCACCTTGCCCTGCTCAGACTGTGAGCTCCCAGCTTTCTCCGGATGTCCTGTAGTGCACCTACCTGGGCACATGGCAGATGCACCATAGATGTTTGTGGCAGCTGAAATGTACCAAGCCAAGTGTCCTGCAAGTGCAGTTCCAGGGGAACTGCACACCTCTTCCCCCAGGCGCTGCAGCCCTGGAGCAGAGGAAAGGCTGAGCCCTTGATAGCAGGGGTTCGAGTGGATGGCATACTGTTTGCTGAACTGTACTTAACACTGACCATGACAATGAAAACCACAGCTTCCACACTGACCAAGGTGTGCTAAATGCTTGGGCGGTCCTGGTCTCACCATCTGTTATAGGCAAGTGTTATTATACCCATTTTATGGATGAGGAGATGGAGGTCTGTGGATGAAAAGAGAGTTGTTCATAACCTGGCACCATCCCATTTCTGCTACCCCCCAGTGCTGGTATAGGAGGAAGCTGCTGGTATGTGTGTGGCAGCCCAGAGGTTCCCAGCTCCTGCTCTGCCTGGCTTCCCGTGGCTCTTTTGTTTACAGCCCCAAGTGGGGGTCTTGCTCTCACCCTCCTGTACAAGGCTTCTCTAGGGCCCTAGGGTAGGCAGAGAGAAGCCAGCCAGGTTTTCAGATTGTCTGCAGGGAGTTTAGGTGTATCCCTAAGAAGAAGATGCTACCAGGCCCTGTTCCCATGGAGGCGGCTGCCTGTCCCTCCCTGTCAGTGCTCAGCAGGAAAACCTGGCCAGCAAGCAGGCAGGACAGGTTCCGCCTTGGGGAAGGGGACAGAAGGAGCAGCAGGGTAGAGAATCGCTAGATAGGGGTCTCTGGCTCGCATCCTTCAGGCTCCTTCCCCAGCTCCAAGTCCCTGAGATACTCATTTACTCCCGAAGTTTAAGATCACATTGCTCTTAGCTGGGGATATAGCTCAGTGGCATAGTGCCAGCCTGGCAAGCGCAAGGTCCTGAGTTCAATTCCCAGTACAATAAAAATGGTCTCATCTCCCTTCTGAGAGGAGGACAGAGTCCCATTACCTGCATGTGTACAAACATACGTGGGCCTTAGTCTGACAGCAGTGGGTTCAAGTTGGTCGAACTCGGTCACTTTCTGTGTAGCCTTAATGCCGTGAAGCCTGTCTGATGACTTACTAAGAATGGGGACCAACCTCACCCAGCCCTCGGTCTGCGTGCACCAGGCGCTGTTCTAGGAGCCCAGAGTGCCATTCCTTTCCTGCTCACCAGCGCCCTCACCCGGTGGCCGCCAGTAGTCTAAAAATCTGCAGACTGCAGCTGCCGCCCAGGAATCCACTTTCTGCAGGAGATCCTGGCTGCTGCAGCTCCTGAGACACAGACTGTGTCACCAGAGGAGGCTCCCGCGGGCCACAGCTCTGACCCTGATGACCTCTCCCCTCTGCCACTCACCCAGAGCTCCCGGGGGGGGGGGGCTGGGTTGTGAATCAGGGTCATTTTGAGTCCAGTTTAACAAATGAGGGTGCTGACATCCAGAACCCAGCCCCAGAGAGATAACCCCAGAGAGCCTGGATGCAGCCCATCCAGCAGCCCACCGCGGATTCACAAGTGGTGTTGCCGTATCAAAGCAGGGTTTGCTGACAGCAAGTAAAGCCTCCGTGAGTGGCAGCATTAGTGCTGTGCTCTTCACAGGCCCTCCGTCCTCCTCGATGTTGGCGCAGCCGCGGTACCAGGTCTCAGCAGGCAGCAGGCGCAGCTGCTGGTGCCCAGGCGCCCTGGCACAGCCCCCTTCCTGCTTGGGTGGTCATCGCCAGGTCTGGGGTGGGTGTCTGCCAGGTCCAGAGTCCTCTCTGTGGACGCCCGCTGCCCCCATGCCCCGAGCCAGCCGAGGTCACCAGGTGCTGGGTCCTGTCCAGCTCCAGGCCGTCACAGGGAGGATTTACTGCCTCTGAGCTACAGTGATTATTGCTCTCTTGGGTGGATGCAGCAAGCCGTATTTCCAAAGTGTCTCTGTGTTGCTCTCAAATGGACTCCTCTGTGGAGAGGGACAAGCCCATGGATTCGCACCCACTTTATAAGGAGGGACACTGAGTCCCATGGGCATTGGGATTCACTCGAGGTCACTAAGGACGGTGCTGGCAGCCTTTGTGCAACTCTGGACCAAAGAAGAGGAAAAAGTGGGGTAGGAACTGGACAGCGCCTTCCTTCTCCACAGAGGGCTCTGCCCAGCGGTGGCCAGGGCTCTGTCTTTGTCCCAGGGAGGGATGAGTGTCAGGAGTGGGAGGAGTGAGACAAGCCCCGTGGTGAGACCGGAGGCCCACGAGGAGGGCGGGCAGGGGTAC